GGGGGGCGGGGTGTAGGGTAGTTTTCTCAACTTAAAATGGTTTCCCGCCCGAGCCAAAAGGGCCAAAGCATACTACAAAATGGATTTCACATCAAATAAAAAATTTACAATATGACCAAATCTAATAATAGGTTATTCTCCTGTATTTCCGCACCATTAGATTCGCAATACATCAATGGCAAAACAGAAAAAAAAAGAAAAGAGCTCCGTCCCACCATGCCACACGTGATAGAAAGCTCAGCATTGAGAAAACTCAACTTTGGCGGTGAGACTTCACCCCTGCTGATGTGAAATTTAATGTGTTTAAATTGAACTAATGTGAGGATCAAGCTCTCAAGGGGCCCTATCAGACATGTTCTGGGCTAAGGCCCCCAGCAAGCCTAGTGCCCACCCTAAGTGAAGGTGGGCCTGAATATTCGTCAGAGGCCAAAATTCGACATTTTCATATGTGGATATTCAGGCTCTTGCAGCACGCCAGTTGGTTGGGTAGATGCGTGAGCCTCACTAAGCTGCGTCATACAGTTGGCGCAGGCCTTGACAGTTGCGCCTGGGCACATACACACAAAGCAGGTCAATACATTGGGAAGCCGGCCATCGGCCTTTGCTAAAGCAGTACTGCCGACGTACCTGCCTGGGCGCCCTGCACAGATGCAGCAAACAACCCAAGTCCGGAGACTCAGGCCGTGCCCAACTGAAAACGGCCCAGGCCCTCAACTGTAGTCTCGGGCCTGGGCGCAGGGTCTGAGGCCGAACCGGAAGCTACTGGAAGCTTCCACCCAGGCCACACGCAGCATCCAGGAGGCTGCCACTTCCATAAAAGAAGTGAGGCAGCCCAGGCCAGGGATTCTGGTTAGTGCAGGCAATGCAGAAGTGCTGCTGCGATGCTGCACTGCTGCCAAAGGCGCTGACGGGGCGCGTAGTGGTGAGGTGGGGCGCTGCAGGGCAGCGGGGCGCAGACAGCCATAGCTGGGGTGCTGGGCGGCAGGGGGTACAGCGGGCGATCTGGTGGTCTTCAGGGAAGGAGGCGCAGTGTGGGGTAATCAAGGTCTGATTGAGGGTGACGAGATACTTACCTGGTGCATGAAGAGAGGTCGGCTATGGTGTTGACAGTCATGTACATTGGTCTTCGAGAGGCGAAGTTAGCCTGTTGCGTTAACCAGATGTAGGTAGGATAGCTGGGTAGAGTAGGCTGGGCACTGGGTGCCAGACAGAGAGGAGCAACTTTGGATACTGTGTTGGTGTGGCCTACAGGCTTGGACATTGACTCATTACTTCATTGTATTGCTGTATATGGATGGTTTTCTCGGTGCATTTTGTACTCTCTGCTTGGACACGACTACTTGGACATCTGTGTGATTTCGCAACTTGGTTTTCAGTATATCGTTCACACTCCTATTTCTTGCAATTTGGTATCGGAGCTGGTTCGTGATCGCCGCTTACCTGGCACCGGCGACATTGTTACTTGGTGTGCTGACAATGCTTCATGTGCAGTAAGGATACTTCGGCGCTGGTTTGATTAAGCGGGGCCCAGGTGGAGAGGCCAGCCGCTGGAAGGCTGTGGCGACAGCGGGTGTATGCATGATGATGAGAGTATGCTGACGTGGCATTTTGGCTGAGGTTGCACTGCATTGCGTTGTGGTTGGTACCGAGGCTATTGACCGGTCATCAAAATGCACGTCGGCCCAATTGGTGAGCTGTGTATCTTTTTAACGCAGAACGGGGGAATTAAACTCCCGTTGAATCCTGTTAAACTCCAAAAAATCCAGTTGAATTCGCGTTAAACGCGAAAATGGGCCGCTCCCGCGCTTTTCGGAAAAATGGAATTGATGCGCGGGGTCCGGAACACGTGGCCCTAGGCAAAAAAAAAAAAAAAAAAAAATCCCCCCAACCCCTGAAACACCTCCCATCCGCCCCCACATCCCCCAA